GCCTTACAATACTCAAAGCAAAAAAGCTAAAAATAAATATTAGAACAGAAACTGAGCTATAGACAATGCCTAGACATAATACCAAAATACAAGAACTAGTAAATATACAATTGTAAAAAAAAAAGCAATTAAAGTAAATGAAGCTGGTCTAATATATTTAAATCAACTACTTGATACAAAGAAAGAAAAACTAATCATATAGTAGCAACTAAAAAGCTATTAAGGCCAATCAAGTAAAGGAAAAAAGGCAGAATGGTTTAAGGCAATTGAATCAAAAGTGCTTAATAGCCCAAAAAGCAGAATAGTGCAAAGATACTTTAAGACTGATAAACAAAATATCTAGGCAATGCAAGTCAAATAGAAGCAAATATCAGAAGATAAAAGAAGAAAAGAATGAATAGTATATGGTATATAAGATTACAGACAATTTGAAAAAGTAGTTATAAAGAAAAAAGAAAAAGTTTTAATCGAATACTGGCAAATGAAATGCAAAGAAAACAAAGTAGCAACTGAGATCAAAAGATGTGAAAGATGTATAAGAAAAGAAGAACAAATAAAAAACAGTTGCCAGCAATAGACAAGATTAAGTAAAAACATTCATGTAATTTCAGATAAATTAATAAGTAAGGGTAGCAATCAAATCAAAATAATGGTAGACCAAATAACAATCAAGACAGAAATAAGCAGATCAAAAATAAGTGAATGCAAATTAAGAGGTCTTATAATAATAGAAAAACTAAAGATAGAAATTATTAAATAACAAAAATTAGAAAAAAATATCAGCCAAGAAATAATAAAAGTTCTAACAAAAATATTATGAGAAACAAGAACAAATATACAATATGTACTAATAATGCAATTAATAGGAAAGATAGTAAAGAGCTAATGGTTAAGAACAATATAAGTATAGAATAGGTCTAAACAAATGAAATACAAGAATGGCTAGAAAAAGAATTAACACTTGGACTTGAAAGATGGCAAACATTAATGATAGCAGAGTTGGTAGCAATTTGGACAGCAATCTTAATAATATCAAAAAAGAAACAAATTGAGATATATACTGATAGTAATGCTGCAATAAAAAACATTAGTAGGAGTCTAGAACAAGCTGACAGAAACAAGATTATTAAAAAGAAGAATGCAATATAGATAATGAAGATTAAAGACCTTATCAAAATAAAAAACATTCAGATAGATTTAGTTAAAGTTAAAAGTTATAATAAAGATAGATAAAATGATAAAACTGATAGTTTAGCAAAAGAAGAAATGATGAGTAGGAAAATTATACAAGCTGAAAAAGTTAGTTGTAAAGAGATAGAGTACTGCTTAGAGTGAGAAAACAAACAGACTAACATATCAGCCAAACTGCTTTGCAAACTAGTAGTGAATATAAGAATAAGAGCAGAATAAAAAAAAACAAGAGCAGTTAAAGATTTAGAGCCAGAAGCAAAAACCACAATTTATAATTGGACTTATTTTTGGAAAAGACTAAAGATAACCAAGAGAATATATTGCATAACAAGAAGAAGCAGTTCCAGAAAAAGTGCCTTTATTAAATACATAATAGATAAGCTTTTAACTCTGAAAAAACTCAACAAAAGAAGACCAGATATATATACAACAGTGAAATGCAAAGTATGTCAAGATAAAGTAAAAGAAATACAAGCATACTTGGCAGCATGTAAGAGACAAAAAATTTCTGAAAAAGAATCCAAAAAGTGACTATTGCAACAGCATAGAAGAAATTAAAAAAAAAGAAAAAACCTAGATTCTCTTATATGTGTTATATATAGCACTCTTTGGAAAAACAGAAATGAAAGAAATCAAGATAAGAGAAGCACTAATAAAAGGTCTAATTCCAAAAAAAATGTAAGACAAACTGGCACAGCTCTTAAATTCAAAATTAAGACAGTAATTTGCAAATGCAGTAGCAATAACAGCCTGAAATATATTTTATGAACAAGTATGAAGAATATGTTGTAAAAAAATTATTGAATAAGAGGAAAAATTTGGAATAACAGGTAAAATTAAAAGAAAAAAATGTGAAAAGCTAAAGGAACCAAGAAAACAAGAAAAGGCAAATCAAGAAAAAATAGAAGAAAAAAAAGAAGAAATAAGAAAAAGAGAAAAGCAAATTGAGAAGGAAGTAATGAAAACAATGTTGGGGCTTGTTATGAAAGAGAAAAGACCTTTCTATTATAGACTTTAAGTAGTAGACAAGCAGCTTACTTTTGCTCAAAGTAATGTGACAAGTTGCACTTAGGTACTAACAAGATAGCCAGGTGATGCTAGACTTAGATATTAGAGATATTTATGTAGTTACAAATGTAATTCTAAAAGCTTAATAAAGTACTAGTATAATTGCTTATATATTAAAAAAAAAAAAATTTAATAAACTTATAATTAAATAGATATAATTTCTAAATTTTAATATAGTTTAAATTTACATACTAAACCTAATACTTAAAGATTAATAATTTATTAATTATTCAAGTTATTATACTTTAAAATAATATTTTTAATAAATTTTTTTTTGGTAAGACTGTTATTAGTAACTATTATTTTTATTGTGTTTTATTTATAATTGCATAACTTGTATAAGATAAGTATACAACTAGACACATATGCAACTTTTAATTACTTATTTAAGTAGTTTACTTGCAAGTTCTACACTAGTTGTTATACTTGTAATTTGTTAGAAGATTATTTCATTAAATACTCTGATTTTTATATTATATCTGACAAATAGTACACAAGTTTTTATATATCTAAGTACTGTTTAATTTAATTTAGATCTTTCTTTCTATATGTTTGTTAAGCTGTTATATATTTCAGAATACGTTATCTAATTGTAAGACTTCAAAAGCTTTTTTGTTAACTAGTTTATATATTTTTATAAAAAATTAATAGACTTGTTTTTGTAAAGTTTATTTAGACTCTAGTATCAACTTTATAATATATTTCTAGTACTTATAGTATACTTCTGCTTTGATATTTGACTTTTAATTCAGATAGTCTAATAGAACTATAACATGTCTCTGGTATATCAAGTTCAGCTTGATATTCTTTTTCACTAGTTTAAGACTTTTAGTAGCCTGATTGGTAATACTTCTTATCGGAGATTTTTGTCTGCTTAATTTTTTTATATTGGTATTTATTTTCTAAATCTAACCTATTTTTAATAAATTTAAAATTTAAAATTAAATAAAAAAAAACAAATCTAATTGCAACAGTTTGTTATATACTTATTTGTAATAATTTAATTAGTACAACTTATAAAAATAACTAAAAATTTAAACAATCTAAAATTTAATTACTATTAACTTATCTAAAGTTATTATATAAAATAAATTATTACAAAAATATTTATTTATATTAAATAAAATTTTTTAATAAAATTTTATTTAAAAAAATAATAACTTAAGAGAACTGCTATTCGCACCATAGATTTTTGCTATTCGCACCATAGTATGTAGATCATGACCAGAATTAGTTAGAGTTAGGGTAAGTGAATTTTCATAATGTTAGTTACCATGGTGCGAATAGCAAAAATCCATGGTGCAAATAGTAATTCCCTAACTTAATATAGTAAATAAATTGTCAATCTTTAAGTAACAAATTTAGTATTCAAATTCTATTTATAATAAAATTTAAAAATTATATTTGTTATAATAGACTGTCTTTTAATAAATAGTTGAATTAATGTATTTGTAATTTTAAATTACATCATTTTGAATAAAAGTTTAAGTTATTTATACTTGGTAACCTTATTATAGATTTGTATTAAAGTTTTTTGCAACATTAGTAAGTATTTTTTTATGTTTATATAATATTATGCTTTGTATTAAAAAACTGAAAAACTGAACAAACAAAAACCCACTTAGAAATTTTTGAATAAAAAAATAATATAAACTTTTGACAATACTATTAAACTAATAGAAACTATAAACATTTTCTAAAAGAATTAATGAATAAACTAATTAACAAGTATATATAAAAGAACATATAACCAATTAGGTTATCAAAATTTGTCAAAGTAAAAAGATACAAAAAAATATCAAATATCTAACTACAAGTCTACCAAATCATATAAATTGATAGTTTGAAAAGTCTTATCGATTCTAAATAAAAAAACTTAGTACGAAATAATAAAAAAGTATTAGAAAGATAAATACCAAAGTTTGAATGAACTTTATAAAAATAATGTAATGTAATGATTTAACAGAATATCTGTAACTAAAAGCGTTAATCTGATTATATATAGTATGTTATATAAAGCTAGGTTAACTGTGTATAAGACAAAAAACTAGCAAATTTTTTGTTAAAGATAAAATAATCCTAAAAGTACCAATGTGCATAGGTACTTTGGATGAGTTTAGTCCTAAAGATGTCCCGTGATAACCAAGTAGTTCATAATCGATATGTTCCGTCATTTAAGTAACGATAACAAAAAATATCAAAAATAATCATATTAAGATTCAACTATACTTGTTTTTAAAAAAACAAATAAAAAATAAAAATAATATATATATAATTATTTTTTTTTAAGATAAATAATAATTTTTATTATTTAAAAATGTTTAAATTATACAAAATAAATTAAATATATATAATAAAAAGTAATATAAATTACAATAACCTTTCAAAATAAACAAAAAAAACCCCCCATATTTGTTTACTTAATTATTTTAACTATTAAATCTCCTGCTGATAATGAATCACTTTCTTTAACCTCTATATGGTCAATTTTTCCAGAAACAGGTGATGAAACTATTGTTTCCATCTTCATTGCTGAAAGAACACATATTGGGTCCCCAGCTTTAACCTCAGATCCTTCTGTATAAATAAAAAATTTTTAGCAATAAGATCGCTTGTAAAAACATACCATTTTAAACATACCATGTACTCTTATTTCAATCACTACTCCAGACATTGGTGCTCCAACTTCACCAGGATTTCCTGTATCAGCCTTCTTGCGATGAACATGTTCAACAGCTGATATTAAATGAAGGATATTTTAAATAATAGCAATAATAATAATAATTTATCACAAAAAAATTTTTTTTAGATTACCGGCACTTCTATCCTCTATACCGACGGCTCTAGTTTCACCATTTAAATCAAAGAATACTTCTCGTTTTCCAGTAGTAGTACTTAGAGGTCCGATAGCCAAAAACTTTATAATTAGAGTAACACCTTCTTCGAGATTTATGCAAAATTCTTCACCAATCTCAGGCTTGCACAAAAAATATCTTGTTGGGATTACTGAGACATCACCAAATTTTTCAAGCTGTTCACGATATTCTGCAAACACTTTTGGATATATTGCTGCTGAGGATACGTCAATATCACGAATGGACCGACCATATTTAGCTATCAACTCTTTTTTAAGTTCATCAAGATCCTTAGATTTCAGTGTTGTACCGGGTCGTCCATCAATTCGCGGAAGATCACGGATAATCTAATTCATAATTTACCAAATAAAAAAAATAAATAAATAAAAAAATGGTAAGTAAATAAATGCTTACAAATTTATAATAAGTATAAATAAAATTAATTACATTTGAGCGAAGTGGTTCTGGAAATCCACCATATGGTTGTCCTAAATAACCTTGGAAAAACTCTACAATTGAAACTGGGAATGATGTATTATTTTTTGCCTTTTCAATGACCTATTGGATGAAAGGTTTTAAGTATTTTGGATAATTTTGAGCAGATTAAAAAAAAAAAGATTGTAAACCTTACATCGTTATAAGACCATTTATTAGTGACCATAAATTGAGCAAGATCTCCTACAACTTTTGAACTAGGCGTCACTTTAATAATATCGCCACATAAATAATTGGCTTCAGCATAAGCTTTCTTGATTTCTTTCCATTGTTTACCAAGGCCTAACTGTGAAGCCTGGAACATTAAATTTGTGTATTGACCACCAGGCATTTCATGTTCATACACTGAAGAATCACCACTTAGAACTCCAGACTCGAAGCAACTATATAATTTACGTGCTTGTTCCCAATATTCATTCAAAGCATGCACATCTTCCAATCTAATACCCGTACCAAGTTCAGAATGCTCGAGTGCAGAAACGAAGGCACCCATAGATGGTTGAGAAGTTAAACCGGACATACCTTAAATAGATGGAATAAAGTTTAATTAAAAAGAATAATTAAGATACTATAATATGCTATAAGATATTATACTTACTATCAATGGCCAAGTCAACTACATCAGCACCTGCTTTAGCAGCAGCCAACATACTGGCAACACCAGTTCCTGCTGTATCATGAGTATGAACATGGATTGGTAAATCAGGCCATCTTTTCCTTATGCTACCGATCAAAATTTCTGCAGCTTCTGGTTTCAATAAACCAGCCATGTCCTTAATACCAAGTACATGAATTCCTTCATTAACTAATTCTTGGGTGAAATTTAAATAATAATCTATATTATATTTTGTCTTATTTGGATCAGAGACATCACCCGTATAACAAATTGCAGCTTCTATTACACCACCAGCTTTTCTAACAGCATCAATGCCTAATTTCATATTTTCAAGATAATTGAGAGAATCAAAGATACGGAAAATGTCCACGCCATGTTCCTTTGCCTTTTTACAAAAATCATATATAACATTATCCGGATATGAAGTATAACCCACAGCATTTGCACCACGAAGTAACATTTGGAAAGGAATGTTTGGAACTAGCTTGCGTAATTTCATCTAGAATTTATGTAGTTAAAAGAACTATAAGTTTAAAGTATTACACATTGCTTTGTGTTCAAATATAAAAACTTACTAAACGGTCCCAAGGATCCTCATATAAAAATCTCATAGATACGTCAAAAGTCGCACCACCCCACATTTCAAGAGAATAAGCATTTGCAAGTGCGTGAGCTGTTTGAGGAGCAATATTCAAGAGATCTAAAAAAGAAAAAAAGTTATATCATAAACAAACGGATAAAAAATCGGATAAAAAATAAAATTATAAAAAGAGATTAATTACCGATAGTTCTGACTCTAGTTGCCAACAAACTCTGATGAGCATCTCTCCATGTTGTGTCCATGATTAATACGCCTTTATATTCGCGAACAGCCTTAGCGAATGCTTCAGGTCCTTGTTCTTGAATTATGTGTCTCCAACCACGTTCAGGAGGACTGCTTAGATCGACAGGCTCAGGACCATCTTGAGAGCGGATGGTTGGAAGATATAATGGTTGCTTAAATGAAGGTTCACCCTATATAAGAATAATACATAAAAAGATGAGTACGATAATAATACGAATAAAAAGATAACTAAATAAAATTAAAAAATGATTAAACTTACAATTTGACCTTTAATGCTGCTTCCATTAACAACAACATCACCCAAATATTTCAAAATTTTTTGAGCACGATTCTTACTTTCTACCAATCTAAAAAGATCAGGAGTATCATCGATGAAAGTTGTCCACGCTTCACCATTTGCAAAAGCGCTATGAATTAATAAACGTTGTAAAAATGGGATGTTTGTTTTTACACCACGAATTCTAAATTCGGTTAAAGAACGAAGAATTTTTCGTCTGGCAATTTCATAAGTTTTTCCCCAACAAGTAACCTTTACTAATAAAGAATCATAATGTGGAGTAATTATGGCACCAGCGTAACCAGCACCACCATCTAATCGAACACCATTGCCACCAGCTGATCTGTAAACTTCAATTTTTCCAGTATCTGGCTGGAAATTTTGAGCAGGATCTTCAGTGGTTACACGGCACTGAATAGCATGACCAAGAACTTGTATACGATCTTGTATAAGATTTTGGTGAGCGAGAAGAGCACCACCAGCAATTTGAATTTGAGCTGCGACTATATCAATACCAGTGATCTCCTCTAGATCAAGACAAATAAAGGAAATATAAGTGAATATTCAAATAAGGAAAATATAATTGAAGATTCATTTATTCAAAATATAAAGCTAACCTGTAATTGTGTGCTCAACTTGAATTCGAGGATTTATTTCAATGAAATAATATCTGTCCTGCTGGTCAACTAAAAACTCAGCAGTACCAGCATTCCGATAGTGCACATGCTTTGCGAGTTTTACAGCATCATTGAGAATGGCATCACGCACAGAACTCTAATAGCATATAGTTAATATAAAAAATAAATGAAATAAATAAATAAAAGAACCTTTAAATTAATTGCAGGTTCCATAATTAAGACAAAAAAAAGAGAATAAAAGAACCTTTAAATTAATTGCAGGAGCGACTTCAACCACTTTTTGATGACGTCTTTGTACAGAACAATCACGTTCAAATAAATGAATTACATTGCCTTCTTTATCAGCTAGCAATTGAACTTCAATATGTTTTGGTCTCTCCAAAAAACGTTCCAAGAAAACGGTTCCATCACCAAAAGCAGCCAAAGCTTCAGACTTTGCACGGTTAAACAAATCTTCAAAATTTTCTAATTCACGAACCACTCTCATTCCACGCCCGCCACCACCCATTGCCGCCTTAATAATAATTGGAAAACCATATTCCTCTATAAAATCTTTAGCCTGATCAAATGTTGAAACCGGACCAGGAGTACCTGGAACTACAGGGATACCGCATTCGATAGCTTAAACACAAAAAATTGCAAGAATGATGGGTAATAAAATACGAATAAAAAGTTAATAATAATAAATAAAATAAATATAAATAAAACAAATAAAAGTAGATATACAATAAACTCTCTTTATAGCGAACTGGTGGTCTTTATAGTAAAAAAAATCTCAAAGTTTTTATAAAATAATTACTATGTTTTTATAATATAATTCTTTAAAAAAGTTCGTTATATTCAGAGTCAATTGTATCTATCTATATATATATATATACCAATTTCTCTTGCTTTCGTTTTGTCACCCAATTTTTCAATAATGTCAGGAGTAGGGCCAACATAAGCGATTCCAGCCTCTTCAACTTTTCGTGCAAAGCTAGCATTTTCCGAAAGAAAACCGTAACCCGGATGAATCATCGATACACCTTTTGATTTTGCGATACGAATGATTTCATCTTGAGCAAGATAAGCACCGACAGGAGTATGTTGACTAGGATCACCTATTTGATAGGCTTCATCAGCTTTATAACGGTGCGTTGACAAACGATCTTCATGACTGAAAATAGCGACAGTTTTCATTGAAAGTTCATGAGCGGTTCGAAAAATACGAATAGCTATTTCCTAAGAGTTTGAAAAAAATTAATAAATCTGGTTATAAAGATAAAGAAAAAAAAGGTAGAACATCTAAATTTACCCCACGATTAACCACCATTAATTTTGGAAGGTGGCCCAACACTTGACTATCTCGACGGATAGTTTCTACCGAATGATCAGTATGATCATGATACATGGCAATTTGATAAAATATAATAAAATGTAATAAAATGCAATTTTTTATGTTACAGTAAGAAATGTGAATAAGAAAGAGTTGGGAATGGATTTAAAGCTAAAAATGGGGCGAACTTGGGAATATTTTCGTTTTTATACTTTATCAATGCTAATTGATAATCAAATTTTAAATCTCCGATAAACCCGATGAGCCTTCACGGAGATTAGTCAAATTAGTTAAATAATTATTGTTATCATGTAGCATAAATACAAAATGAAATTATACAAGAATGCCTATAAGCTTATTGGCCAAAACCTAATCTGATATCTTTAAATTAAATTCCTTACTGTACGTAATTTACAAAATACTTTTATCGTAACTTTATTTCCAAACTTAGAACGAGTTCACACGGTGTCCCAAGAATTCGGTACGGCTAAATATTTTGACCAAAGGCTGCAAGACGAAGTAAGTCAAACATGCATTATGATGTTATCATTCCGGACTTGAGCAATTCAAGGTTGACCCGTCTCAACCTTTTTTTTATATATATATATATAAAGATATATAATAACGAAAAGAAAATAAATCATATTTTCCAGATTATATTTCTATTACATCTAATCTAAGTTCATTTTTGAGTTACAATCTACTCACAAATCATTAATATCATTAATACTACATAAGTATTACACAAAATTATAACGAATTAGATATGAGTAACTATTACAGTGATGAATTTCTAATAGCACGATAATTTCAGAAAGTGTTCCATATGCAAATTATTCGGATATGCAATTAATAAAAATACTACGTACATATACTGTATCAGATATTTAAAAAGTTAGATAAAAACATTAGTATATAATATTTGATAATATTAAAATGGATTCAAAATATCAAAAATAAAAAACTATTCTTTATCACTATATGTCGATATCGATATATGATATATCACTATATTTATTACGCAAATAAACTCGAATTTATAATGTATGTATTAGTATTAATATACTTGCAGAATATTGTTATTTAAAGGCTGATTATTAAACTGGCTCAAACAGCTTCGAGTCTCTGAACTTGTTTATAGTAATTTTTAATCCCAAGTACGTACAATACGTATTTACTGGAAGATCCTCTTGATAGATTATTTCCTTTTAAAAACTATTATTAATCAAAGCAAACAGGATTGCCTTATTTCGAGATTGTAAGGTTTTCAGGTTCGTGTTTTTGGATACACGATACCGGACATGATATAACGATAAGGTATTTCAAACCTGACAGATTATGTATTTAATAGCAACCACTTATATTTAATTAATCATATGATAATAAATATTAATATTATCGTAATGTTCTAATTTTTTGTAAATCAACACTCTAAGCCTCCATTTATACAGTCATAAAGAACGCAAACTGTCGGTCAAATCGCGAAAATCATCCATATATTACAACCATTAGAATACAATTTCAATAGTAATTTAGAATCTTTTTGTTTTCAAATTATATATATAGATAACTACCTATTGTTTCAACCGGTTGCATGCGTTACAGTCACTGGTACTGTAAAGTGAAAACAATTTTGTTGATTAAACCAACGTTGAATACCAATTCGATCAAAGTCTACCTTTTACACTCACCGACAATGATAATTATAACAATCAATAATCCAATAGCAATAGAAATGAACCATCTCCTCTTCGTAATGTCTGTGTACCAAGGTCCTTCATGCTTCCATGGTTCTGTAGGTTCTTCAATACTGCGCGTCTCAAAATGTTCTAATTCTAAATCCTTTGTAACTTTATTGGACTCAATATCGTACTCGGATTTCTGCGGCTCATACTGTGTTGACTCTGGATTTACAATTAAAAAACTAACGCGTAAACTCTCTGTGCTCTAACGAGAATCTCTTTACAACTAAAAGAATACCTTCGTTATCTTTATTTTCACCATAATTTTCTATACTTTGTCTCTTTGGCAATTCAATTTGAATTCGTTGAGCTTTATCTTGAGTCGGGGTAGTTCCATCTGTATTATTAGGAATAACTTGTTCTTGAGCTACTGGTGTCTTTTCTGAACTTGCTTCATTAATGGACGTTGGCTTTACGTCTTGTTCGGACATATTTCGTTAAACTTAACGTTAGAAAGAACGTTAGAAAATAGTGGACCAACATAATCAACTTTTAAAAAATTTAAAAATACGTCATCAACGCTGTACCAGTTACAGAATAAACTTATATATCATTGTACAATAGTGTTGCATATTCTACAGCATTTAGCGCGTGATTAGTTTAAAAAAATGTTTTTTTTTTTTTTTGTGAATAATGGGTTATTACTCCATCTTATTTATAATGTGTATCACCCACGTACCATCTAATCTAATCATTCAAATTTACGTTTTTCGTCCTTCCCTTATTAAATTAGGTTAGGGTAATGGTATTTAACGCCAGATTTGTTTCGAATGATTATTTTAGTGACTAAATAAGCCCAATGTTTAGAAAATGGCTAGGTCGATTTTTAAATATTAACTTGCCTCAGATGTCGATCGGCCTAAATTAGAGTTAGAGTTAGGGTAAGAGTTAGATTATAGTTTAGGCCAATCGATGTCGATCAGTTAATGCCGGCCAAACAATCAACACCTAAGGTGCCTCAGTTATCACCTAAGGCAAAAAATCAATTTGAGGCACAACATCTATATATAATACGTTAAATAGGAAATTACTTAGCAGTCACACGATTTGTCACACTTAAAATTTTTTAATAGTAAATTACAACGGTAGCCTACTTTTAGTCGTTTATTTCAAGGGTTTCTTAAAAGGAAACCGCACTCACGGGATGTAGTACAGCTATTCAGAAAGAAAATCGCATTAACAAAGTAATAAAGACTTAGATTTCAATAATTTATAAAGTTTTTTTTTAACTTTTTAAAGACTAGCTTATTAATTACATTTAGTGTAGTCAAGATGGGTTTTAGGTTATTTATTTAATAAGTGGGTTTGGTATTATTTTATTAATTTTAATGTAGTAATTGAAATTATTATTAAGTTTATATATATATACAGTGAAACTTTTTTAAGCGCATCCTCTCTAGTAAAAAAAAAATAAAATATGCATTTATAGAAGGCAAAATATATAGAGTTCCTATTAGTTGGAACTAAGCTATACTATGCATTTGAGAATTATTTTAGTGCGTGTACTTAGAAAGGTTTCACTAGATATATATAGTTATATTAAAATTGAATATTATATTATTATAAGTAGGTCTAATAAGTTTCGGATTTCTTTTTTAGTCTAAGTTTCAGGTTTTCTTTCTAAAGATTTAGGTTATTTTTTTAATAAACAAAACCAAATTTTAAAATTTTTTTTTTGTTATTAAGATAATCTCTTTGGTCTTTTGACTTTATTAACATTTTTTGAGTAATATAGTTCTATAAGAACTACTACAGAAAGAGTGTACAACTGGTTATATGTGTAACTTTTTTATATTACCTATTTTTGTATTTAAGAAGTTTGCCTAAGGGTTCTTACCAGTTGTTATATCTTTCATTTCTGTTTAGATATTTTATTTAAACTTTTTGAATCTATAATTTGTATTAACTTTACTAAATTATTTTGGATTCTTATCTCAATCTTAGAACTAATTAATCCTTGAGATAAACCTTTTAAAGTTTTTTGTATTCTTATTTACAGTTAATCTGAACTTATTATAATTGAGTCAACACTTATAATCAGAGTTAATTATTGAACTATTATACTCTTATAAATTTTATACAACTTTAGTATTTACTTTTATAATCTTATCAGTACCTTGCAAGTTCTTCTATACTACCAATTCAATAAGCTTTGCATAATGTAATTTTATGTTCAGATCAACTAATAGTCAGATTGGTGAACTTTTTTTGTCTAGAAGTTCTTGTTTGTATAAGTTATCTTTCATTTTTTAAATCAAGATTTTCATAGATAATACTATTAAAGATTATACTTTTTTTTATTTAGAATTTCCAAACAGAATTTTTTATAAAGTATATCCTTTTTAGATTTATTTATATAATATTGTATATTCTTAAAGTTAGTCTTAATATAATTAAAATTATAGAATTATAATTTTTAATATTTTGTTTATATTGTCAGAATAGAATTATTTTTCAAAATTCTGTTACTAATAAGATTTGAATTTTGAACTTATTGTTTAAAAGATAACAACTTAATTATTATACTAGAATTATTTATTTATTTTTAGTATTACCATTGGTTTAGTATATATATCATATAATAAACTGTATAAGTAAAATTGAGTACATCTATACATATAGTAAATGATCTACATATGAGGCACAGTAATAGTTATTTAGTGATCTATCACATAAGCTTGTCTCATAGTACTGTCTCATAGTAAATTTGAGACAAATTATAGTAATTTCGAGACAAAAAATCTG